ACACTCCAACGTCTGACTATCGACAAGAGTTGGGTGTAGTGTCTTCTCTTAAACCAAATGTTGTTTTATTTAATATCTCTCTCTCTCTCTCTCTCAGTTCTCACTAAAGGTCAATGGACAGTAAGTGAAGTACTAGATTCTACTGATCTTACTAAAGAGGCCTATCAACACAAATATCAATCATTCCTTAAAACAAGACAATGGTCGCAAGATCATTGTTCTATAGTCTATCCAACAGAAAAGGAAGTACAACAGCAGCAGTACATACAAGTACTGCAACACGAGTTAAGAGTATTTGAAGTAAATAAAACCTTACTTCAGGAAGCACTCTTTGAGGCTAGTCAGCAAGGTATAGTCCTCTACTGTGTGTGTGTGTTTATTATTTTGTGATTTGTGAATAAACTTTACATTAAGAGGTGATATATCTGACACATTTAATTAGTAATGACACATTATGACATGATTGTTAATTGTTGTTAATAGTGTATATGTGTATTGGTTAGGTGATGTTACTGATGATACTTACACTAAGACTCCTCCTCCTCCTGCTAGTGTTGATGATTCTAAAGTGAAGAGTTCAATACAAGAATGGAAGAACATTACTGGTGAGGTTATACCATGAGTACATTACTGTATATCTAATGATGAGATAATACATTGAATTTTATGTAGAAGAGATTGAGAAACTTAAAGCTAATATAACGATGCTGACTGAAGAGAAATCACAATTAGAGGAAAAGAATGAGAATTCAACTGGTAATACTATCAGTATTACACCATATAGTGTATAGTTTTCATTAGAAGAGAATGAGAAACTTAAAGCTAAAGTTGTTGATAGTGAAACTTATATAGCCACACTGACAGAGGAGAAAACTTTAACTAATGGTAAAACTATCATAATATTACTATATTATACTTTTGCTATCGTTTGTGTAGAAGAGCTTAAGCAGCTTAATATAGTAATTGCTAAACTGACAAAAGAGAAATTACAACTAAAGGAAGAGTTGCAGTCAATGAAAGACACCACAACTACTGGTAAGAGTATCAGTACATTAATTATTAGTAAATACATTTCTATTTTGTGTAGAAGATAATGAGAAGGAATTAAAGGAGAGAGAGCCAGTCAAAGATATTGGTATTCAGTTTGATTATATTGTTCCTTCAATGGGTAAGAGATACATGTACATAGTAATTTTAATACCATTGTTATAAGCTTTGGAATTTGTTATCATTAGTAGACATTAATTGACTTCCTTAACCCACAAATATTTCATTGTATAAACAAAACTAATTATATGTACTCACTCCTTCATGTATATCAGGGTTTCCCACAAAGCAGCTAAACAGCATGAGCTTCATGAGCTACAAGCACTATAATACAGTACATGGCATTTGAAGCAACTTTAAAATTTTATAAAAAATTCAAATTTAATTGGAATCAGCTCGAACTTGATACACAATACAAGAACATGTGTATATGCATCAGAAAAAATTATAAAAATGTAGAATTTTCACCTAGCCATTTTTGAAAAAATTTGGCCATAGATCAAAGACTTATAGCCTTGGGTCGTTGGCCAGATTTTTGAGCAACTTTAAAAATTCATAAAAAATTTAATTTTGATCGGAATGGGCTCAAACTTGATACACAACTTAAGAA